AAACAAACATACATGTCTGTTGTTCTGTGATGTGCACTCTTTTAGTAGAGTTCAGCAAGGTTACTGCAGCCTGTGATGTTATACCCTAAAAAACAAGTATTTTTTTAAAAATGTATTAAACTTTTATTTTTATCCCACAGCCAAATGCTCCTAATTATGTCATTTGCATTAAAGTATGCAGGCAATGTGTCCATACCTTCTGGAACTCTCCCGTCACATCACCATGTCTGTTTATATCTCAAGATATTAGCATGAAATCCCAATCATTCGTGATTGTTTTGGAAGATATACATTTAGTAATTATACAGTCATTAAATGGGTTTGTTTTGTTGTAATTAGGTGGAGGGCACACTGCAGTCTTTTCCCCTAAAGGCTGTTTTTCTGTACATTGTGAACGTTTAGATTTCTACACATCTCAGATTCTGCTTTATTGGCCAGGTGTGTCGGACACACAAGGAATTTGACTCTGGTACATTGGCTCTCAATGCGCAAGTAAACAGTAAACCAACATAAGGTTAGTATAACAATCTCTGGATGTGCATGTTTTGGGAGAAAAGCCTCAACACATCATCCCTTAAGCAATTTTTTAAATGGATTTCTATACTTGTCTGTGAGTGTACATGTATGTTTGCATTTCATTGAGAAAGAGCAAAAGGGAGAGTTTGTGTGGCTGTGTTTATAAGAGCAACAAGCTTTATGTATTACTTCCATTCCAAGCTCAGGCACACCCCCATGCCACACTGTAAAGCATGCCATAAAAATGCTGCAGTTGCATGATGGGATGATTTCATGCAGGTTTCACTCTCTAATGGTTTAAGAATCAGGCGCTGAGCCTCACATATTTGTATTCACATTTTCGTAATAAATGGGTATGTTTGTTTTTTTCAACTTCTGATGATTTACCCCTATAAAACATCAACAATGGCGCCCACCGAGGCGAACGTGTTTGCACGCTCCATTTTTGAACTTTGAACTAAAAGACCTTGTCAACTGTAAGAGCAGATACACTAACAATGCAGCCAATAAATGTTTAATCAGAAGGCTGTACTGTAATGTGATTCCCACGTGTGTGTCTGGGGCAACTTCACTACTTCCTGCAGTCTTCCAATTGCTTTGCTGTCAGCTTCCAGACCTTCCAAGTCAGTTTTAAAGGGAACCGATACAGTCTGTAGAGTCTAGCATTCATTGCTCATCAACAAGATTTGGGAGTGTGTGGGGAGCTGCTTTAGAGCAAAGGCACCCAGTGAAATGTAGTGTAGTGGAAGACTGATGCTCTGCACTGAGGAATGACCTGCTAGATGATGCAGTGACTACAGCTTCATTCCAGGTTCTGCAGGTTGATAGAGGTGGAGCATTAAGAAACACCCACAATCAAAGAACAAGGAAATGGTGGTACAAGATATTCCTTTTTGGCAGCCAGGCAGCAAGCTGACTCTATTTGCTGTATCCCTGTTGTGTATACCAAACAGAGCCAGCTTGCTGGGTGTTTCTTAAAGCTTCTCCTCTGTCAACCAACCCTGTCACCTGGGGTGAAGATGTTTTTAGTTTCTGTCACCATCAACTAATAGCCACTGATCTTAGACCAGGTGACTCAATCCTACCTAACTGACTAATCCTCCTTGCACTGTCTCTGCCAGTAATACTGGCCTTATGGCTGGTAAAGACATGTGGGTACATAGAGGAGGAGTTGTATAATTCACTACTCAGAAAATGCTGCCACATTCTTAAAATAAATTGGATCAGTTGCATTAGTGTATTGCTAATATTACTTAGGTACCATTCCTGATAAACAGCTGTTGGAGCAACTCAGTGTATGTGTTTTAATACCCAGAAATTATTTGGAATTCAGCAATTAGTGGAAATGCAAATACTTAAAACTACTTATTTCTGTGGATTTTAATTGTGGTGATCTGTGAATTTATACATTTTAAGTTGTACTCACAGAAGACTATAATAAAACTCTTTAAACAATGCAAAACATGCTTTTCAAAACATCCCAGAGGTTTTCTTACTAGATCGTAATCCAAGTCATGGATTAATTGTCAATTGTATAACTTTCAACCTATTTGATTACAGTTGCCACACAGCATCAAGCTACCTTATTAATCAAGACAAAGTGTGTCCTAGTATGCACATTTCCCCTGAGTTGTGAAACGAAAAATCAGTTTGCCACTGTCTCTCTTTCTCGGGGTGTGGGGGAGGGTTGTTATTGTTCTGCTAGAGTATCTATAAATACCCCCAAAACTTCCTTCTCTGTCTCAACCACCAATCAACAGTCACTGTTGAGCTGAGCAGCTGAGACAGGGTAATAAGCCTGAGTCAAGGCTAACGGGGGAGGGAGTGAGGGAGGGTCTGACTCAAACATGCCGTGGTGGAGGAGTGGGTGAGAGAGTTTGAAAAAGGGAAGGGGAAACTTATACCGCCTTCCCACCAAAAGTACCTTTT